TCCATGCCTCTGCACGTTACCAGGGGCAAAGAGAGGCCAGGGAACACAAACGGGCCCAGATGGGAGGGTTTGCCAACTCTCCAGGGGGCGCCCAAAGATCGAGGTACCCGCTTCCCACGGTGGGGAAATCTACCAGAGGGGTCTCCCTCTCCCTCTAGGAAGGCGGTGTCATCTCAGTGAGTGGTGGCAGCGTGTAATGGAGAGAAATAGCCCCGCCAGGCAGGGTGGGAAGGCCAAAACAGGGGCTTGCGAGCCACAGGACGGGACCTCGGTCTCCCAGGGCTGAGGGCAGGTCCCCGTTTCGCCACACCCACCCCACCCCTACATCTGGCGTGTTACCTGGCATGCCAAGGAGGCCGCCTGCGACGGAGAGCTGTGGGGCCTGCGCAAAATTGGACAGCATGGAGCGGGCCGAGGTGGGGATTCCGCGCTGCAGAGTGCTCTGGGGTTGCGGTGCCTGCAGAAGATAAGAGAGGAATGAAACAGGGCAGCCGGGAAACTGAGCGGCGGACAGACAGCGCGAATTTCTTGCAGTGGCGAAAAATTGGGGATTCGGATACACCAACTGCTAAAAAGTGCTAAACAAAGTATGCGAACACCCTCAGATTTACGGTGTATGCAAAATTCAGGTGGCACGGGTGCAGGATTTGGCTCTTGCCAGAAGGGAGGTGGCGCGGGGGGAGGGGGTTGCGGCCAAGCCCAAGCCGCGAAGAGGGCAGGTGGGGGGGGCGGCCTCAGGGGGGGAGGCAGCCTACCTGGCGGAGCGTGTGGTGTCGCATGATGCTCTCCTGCTTGCTGACGCTGGACACGGCGGGAGCGGCAGTGGGCGACAGGGCTGCCTGCTGCTGTAGCCGCTGCTCTATCTCCTGCGGAAGGAAAAGGAAGCGGGTCGTTGAGCTAGATGGCGCAGCCGTACCTGCCCGCGCAGAACAAGGCCCCGCCTGCTCAGAGCCTCAAAGGGCCTTCTGACGGCCTCTCAGCCGGCCTGAAACATCCTCCGCAAAGCATGGCTCTCTTTGCCCCACATCCTCCTGTCTGAAGACTGTCAACGACGAATTCTCCACCACCCCACAAAAACTACAATTCCCATGATTCTTCTTTTTTTTTTCAATTTGAGGGAAGGAATAATTATCATCCTTTGGCGTTGTGTGTAGACTAGCCAGGGGACCCCAAGATTAGGGGTCAGTCACCAGAGGTCGCCATGACTTCCAGGTGCACACACACACATGCACATATGAAAAATACAAAATAAGAAAAAGTAAAGAAAGAAAGATGCATCCCAGTAAACAGAAGAGAAGCCTGGGTGAGGACGTCAGAGAGGTTGGACTCATAAGAACATAAGAGACGCCAATGTTGGATCAGGCCAATGGCCCATCCAGTCCAACACTCTGGGTCACACAGTGGCCAAAAGTACCAGGTGCCATCAGGAGGTCCACCAGCGGGGCCAGGACACTAGAAGCCCCCCCCCCTGTGAAGCCCCCCCCCCAAGCACCAAGAAGGCAGAGCATCACTTGCCCCAGAGTCCCTATCTATACCTTGTGGCTCATAGCCACTGATGGACCTCTGCTCCATATGCTTATCCAATTCCCTTTTGAAGCCGTCCATGCTTGTAGCCGCCACCACCTCCCGTGGCCGTGAATTCCACGTGTTAATCACTCTTTGGGTGAAGAAGGACTTCCTTTTATTCGTTCTAACCCGACCGCTCAGCAATTTTATGGAGTGTCCACGAGGTCTTGTATTTGGACTCCCTGTCCAAATTCATCTTGAACCCCTGCCTCCCCGCTAGGGTTATGGTGACAAAAACACACCATAATCATCTTCTTGTGACCTTCTCTCTTATGTTCGTTCCCCGCTAGATCTGCCCAGTGCCTGCTGGGAGAGGGGGATCCTCCACACACCCCAGTGCATCACCAGGGACGCCCCGGCATTCAGGCAAAACCCTACGGTCCAACCTGGCAATACCCGGACACCAATCACCGGTCCCCCCCCCGGAAGTGACATCAGCGCATCGCCGGTGAGCCCCGCCCCCTTCGGTCTCCCGCCGGCTGCCGTCCTCGTGCCGGCAACTCTACTCCCACCCCCCTCCAGCTTGAGCCCTGGGCAGAGACTCGCCTGCTCCTGCTGCAGCGCTTTGACGAAGGCGTTCTTCAGCCGGTTGGTGTGCTCGGCCTTGAGCGCCTTCTTCTGGTTGGAGGTCATGCACTGCTCGCACAGGATCTTGCCGTTCTTCTCCTGCTTCCAGTGCGGCGTGAAGTCCGTGCGGCACTGGGCACAGACAAAGGGCTCCACCCGCAAGAGGGAGGCACAGCCTTTGCCTGGAGGGGCATCCCCGGAAAAAGAGAGAGCGGAAGGGAAGGGAAGGGAAGGGAAGAGAAAGGGACAGTCATCAGGAGAGTCATCTCCCAGGCATTCAGAGATACCTGGATGGATGGCAGAGGCGCTTGACTGTGCCGTAAAACCCCCCCCCCCCCAATAATGGTTATCAGAATCTGAATGCATTATTACAAGCAAGGACAGAAGAAGAAGAGATTGGATTTCTACCCCGCCCTTCGCTTGCTTGGAGTGTCAGAGCAGCTTACAATCTCCTTTCCCTCCCCCTCCCCACAACAGACACCCTGGGAGGTAGGTGGGGCTGAGAGAGCTCTTTCAAGGACTGCCCTTCCAAGGACAGCTCTGACAGAGCTACGGCTTGCCCAAGGTCATCCAGCAGCTGCGAGTGGAGGAGTGGGGAGTCAAACCCGGTTCTCCCAGATTAGAGTCCGCACACTTAACCACTACAGCAAACTGGCTCTCCATCACTGAAGAATCTGGGCTGGGGTGTGTGTGTAGCGGCTGGAAATCAGGATCCCCTGAAGCAAAATGCAGGTGGCATGCAAGGCTGACTAAAGATGACCCGATGAGAGTCACTTTTGGACACCCTCGGATCAGGGGCTGGCCACACGGGTCAATTGATCGGTCCAGCATTTTCACATGATCACCTATTATGTGACCACCAAATACTGTCAAAGTAGTCCAAGAAGGCCCAGTGATGTTGATGGCGTTCGTCTTGGTGCCGCAGCCAGGTCAGGTGTGAGGCCTTGTCACTCCCCAGCTCTACAGTTGGGTGGCGGTGGTGGTGGAGGTGGGGTAGCTTAGCAGCCAGGCACGGCTTCTGCCCCTGGAGGCACCCCAGGCAGGAAGGACTGACCGGCTGCCTCCTTAGCCTCTGTGACGAAATGGCTGCCAGGCAGAGGCAGCAGTGCCTAAAATGGATGCCCTCCTGGTAGTCCTTACAAGGGGGGAGGTACTCCATAGGGACCCATGGAGCTGCCGTACCTCCCTGCCTACACTTCCCAGCAGCCTTGGGGGAAAAGAGCGGGAAACGTTTGACACACCCCAGGGGCGGGGCCAAGGAGATAAAGGGTTTGGCTCCTGAGGGGGGGAGTCAGTCTCCACCTGGCCTTAGCCTGGTCTCCAGCGTGGATGGCAGTTTCCAGCAGGTGGACAGGTGAGGGCTCCTGTCCCCTCAGACTCCGTGGGCGATCCAGGCCACTATAAATCTGTGGTGGAGAGCCCAGGAGGGTGGCAGTACTGGTGACTAGTCAAGGGAAGGGCTGCGGTTTCCCTCCAACCACGAGGAGGGGGAAAGCGAACCCTGGCCTGAGGCCACAACCCAGTACAGAGGTAGAGAGGGGTGTGTGTAGGGGCTGAGGAATTGCGTTTCGTTCCTGTTTGATTTCTGTGCCCAGGTTGTGTTGAAGTGCCTGTGTTTATTTTCATGCCTAACCTGTATATAGTAGAATAAATCTTCCTTTTCGAGTTTAAAAAGCCTGGTGTGCCTTAAGCACATAGCTCTCCCTGCTCTGCACGTTACCAGGGGCAAAGGGAGGCCAGGGAACACAAACGGGCCCAGATGGGAGGAGTTGCCAACTCTCCAGGGGGCGCCCAAAGATCGAGGTACCCGCTTCCCACGGTGGGGAAATCTGCCAGAGGGGTCTCCCTCTCCCTCTAGGAAGGCGGTGTCATCTCAGTGAGTGGTGGCAGCGTGTAGCGGAGAGAAATAGCCCCGCCAGGCAGGGTGGGAGGGGGCAAAAGCAGGGGCTTGCGAGCCACAGGACGGCACCTCAGTCTCCCAGGGCTGAGGGCGGGTCCCCGTTTCACCACAGCCTCGCTGTCCCTGAGCCGGGGTCCCACTGACCCTCCCTGCACCGCTCACAAACAGCCCGCTGACGGCCCCTGCCAGCAAGAGGGCAGCATTCCTTCTCCGCCCCGACCCCCTGCCGTGGAATACGGGCTCACTGGTGGCTGCTCCAGCAGGCCGAGGGTGCTGCAGTGCCGGTCGCAGGCCTCATGGTTGTGCTCTCCCAACACCTGACACCCCCCCCCCGGCCTTCCCGATGCCCAGTCTGACCGCGCCGGCCATGCCTGGATCCCCCGCGTGGGCGCCTTACCCTGGCTGTCGATGACGCTCTGCACCACCTCCTCCAGCCCCACCATGTAGATGAACTCGCTGTTGGCCGCGCTGGGCAGGAAGTGGAGCAGGGGGGCGGGCGGCTTCGGGGGCGGGATCTCCAGGAGGGTCTTCTCCAGCTGCTTGCGCAGGGCGAGCTTGGCGGCCGCCTGGGAGTTGGCGGCATCGTTGAGGGCGCTGGGGCTGGGCAGCGGCGACGAGACCCGGTTCACTGTGCCCGGCTGGATGTGGGAGGCAAGGTTCATGTAGATGGCCGAGGACGTCGTGCGCTGGCAAGGGACGGCCGAGCTGGACTGCTGGGGGGGGGGGGGGGGGGGGGGGGGGGGGGGGGGGGGGGGGGAGAAACGGGGACCAAAGGAGGGGTGAGTTATGGGGCGTCCTTGCGAAGGTGGTTTCTCCCACACCATTCCTGTCACCGAATGGCACCTGCCACCCGCTGCACAAGGGTTCTCTGCGTGCCAGGCTCCTCACGGCCAGCTCCGGCTCCAGCCAATGCTCCCTCTAAGTGTGGAGTCTTGTGAGCAAAAATTCTACTTTGTGAGCTGCTGGCGTTAAAGCTGTGAGGGAGCGATCTGGCTGCTACATAAATTAGTCTGCTCTGGAGCCATCCCTTCCTGAGCTGAGACAAAAATCTGTGAGCCGGAGGCTAAAAAACTGTGAGCTAGCTCACACTAACTCAGCTTAGAGGGAACACTGGCTCCAGCCTCCCCCTGCCCTTGGTTCTGCTGGAGTGCCCAAGTCAGAGATACTGCAGGTCGGATCCTCCAATGCCAGGCCTGGGGAGCCAGGAGCAAAGAAGAAGAAGAGATTGGATTTATACCCCGCCCTTCACTACCTAAAGGTGTCTCAGAGTGGCTTACAAACTCCTTCCCCTCCCCACAACAGACACCCTGTGAGGTAAAAGAAGAAGAAGAGATTGGATTTATACCCCACCCTTCACTACCCAAAGGTGTCTCAGAGCTGCTTACAAACTCCTTCCCCTCCCCACAACAGACACCCTGTGAGGTAAAAGAAGAAGAAGAGATTGGATTTATACCCCACCCTTCACTACCCAAAGGTGTCTCAGAGCGGCTTACAAACTCCTTCCCCTCCCTCTCCCCACAACAGACACCCTGCGAGGTTGGTGGGACTGAGAGAGCTCTGACAGAAACTGCTCTTTTTCAAGAACAGCTCTTATCAGAACTACGGCGTGCCCAAGATCATCCAGCCAGGTACAAGTGGAGGAGTGGGGAATCAAACCCGGTTCTCCCAGATTAGAGTCCGCGCACTTAACCACTACACCAAACTGGCAAAGCTGCTGGGGGCTGGGCAAGCAGTCAGCTGGATCGTTCCCAGATGACCATCTGGTTCGAACAACTCCTAGGGTGGCGCTGCATCCGATGCAGTGGTGCCGACCCAGAAGAGTGCCTCGAGCCCGCCTCACCCCCCAAGGAAGGGAGGATCTCTCGACGGGGCCATGCTTCGGCTCGGAGTCTCACCCTCCTTTGGCTTTCTTTCTGGTATTCTCCCCGAACAGGAACCCCAAAGCGGCTTACGCCGTTCTCCTCCCCTCCGTTTTATCCTCACAACCACCCTGTGAGGTGACTTAGGCTGAGAGAGTGTGACTGACCCAAGGTCACCCAGCAGGCTTCTTTCTATGGCAGGAGTGGGGATTTGAACCGGGGTTTCCCAGATCCAAGTCTGACACTTTAACCACCGCACCACGCTGGCTCTCATTATGAGGTTAAAAACAGAGGAGCGAGGAACGACGTCAGCTGCGTTGGATCCCCACTGGGGAGAAAGGCAGATTATAAGAAGGAGAGATGAGATCGGATTTATATCCCGCTCTTCTCTAGGAGTCTCAGAGCAGCTTGCAATCTCCTTTCCCTTCCCCTCTCCACAACAGACACCCTGGGAGACAGGTGGGGCTGAGGGAGCTCTCTCGAGGATTGCTCCTGAGAGGACAGCTCCAAAAGATCTTGTAACTGACCCAAGGTCACCCAGCAGCTGCATGTGGAGGAATGGAGAATCAAACCTGGTTCTCCCAGATTAGAGTCCACGCATTTAACCACTACACTACACCATAATGAAATGAAATAATGTTTCAATAACGTCTCTGATGTGGCCCCGGCCGGAGCCTGGCTCGCCTTGGCAGGGACTGCCTTCCTTCTCTCCCCGCCCCCGCTTGAGGTAGACCACCCTACTTATCGCCACAAAACGGGAGCTCTGCATTGGCCTCCGAGAGAACTAGGAGGTCCTCGTTCCGCTTTGAGAGCTGCCCCGACACGCAGCCTTTCCCGGAACCCCCCCCCCCCCCACGCAACTCACCGGCTGGTAGCTGATGGCTGGGCTCATGCTCGGAGTGGTGGTGCGGATGAGGCCTGGTTTCGGGGGGACGCGCTGCCCTTGGAGCTGGGCGGGGTTCGGCGCGATGACACGCTGAGACATAAGCATGTGGGGGAGGGCCGTGTTGGTGGCTGACCGGATGACGCTGTGACCCTGTCCGGAGAGAGAAAGAGGGGGGGAAGGGATGTACATTTCAGGTGGGAACCGGACACACCTTGAAGCTTTGGGGGCGATGCCCTGGATTGCATCTCCCTCTACCTTAAGGAATGCGACTCTTTCCACCTTCAAAGCGTCACAACGGAGGTACATACCTTCAGCTCTCCCCTGGATGGGCCGGGGTAGCCTAATATCATCAGATCTCACCTGCTAAGCAGGCTTGACCCCAATGTTCCCTCTAATCCCCCCCCCCACTGAGCGGGACAGTTCACATCCAGAGCAGGGCATAACTACTGTAATCTTAAAATGGGTGATGGGCGATAACAAGGCCCTGCACGGCTCCGGACTGCTGCTGAGCGGGGCTTCCTGTGTTAATGAGCGGCCGCTCACATGCGCAGCTTAGAGCAAAGGTGTCAAACTCATTTGTTACGAGGGCTGGATCGGACATAAAAGTCACTTTGTCGGGCTGGGCCACGTGTGCCATAACACGTACCCGAGATATAAACTTTATAAAGGACACCATCAAACTCAACTGAGATACCTTTTTTACTCAAAATACAAACAAAAGCAACATTCCTAGCATTAAAAGCAACTGATTTACTGGGGAACCCACAAAAACCCCAATAAATGTATTTAATCATATGCAAGACTAGGTTTTCTCCAAGGGATACCATAAAAGAGGGGGCTACCTTACACTTCCATACATACCAGTTGCTTGAGGGCCGGGTAAGAGCCGTGGATGGGCCGGTTCCGGCCCCCGGGCCTTATGTTTGACACCCCTAGCTTAGAGGATGGGCGCTTAGAGGACAGAACTTGGATGGGAGACCGCCCAGAGGCAGCCAATGGCAAACCACCTCTGTTTGTCTCTTGCCTTGAAATCCCTACGGTGTCGCCATAAAGTCAGCTGTGATCTGATGGCGCTTTCCACCGTCATGTAGAAGAAAGAGAAGAAGAGATTGGATTTCTACCCCGCCCTTCACTACCCCAAAGGTGTCTCAGAGCGGCTTACAAACTCCTCTCCCTTCCCCTCCCCACAACAGACACCCTGTGAAGTCGGTGGGGCTGAGAGAGCTCTTCAGAAACAGTTAGTTTTTCAAGAACAGCTCTTATCAGAACTACGGCTTGCCTAAGGTCATCCAGCAGGTGCAAGTGGAAGAGTGGGGAATCAAACCCAGTTCTCCCAGATTAGAGCCCGCGCACTTAACCACGACACCAAACTGGCTCCTACACATTTTCGTACACACGTACACATTTTCCTTCACTCCAATTATCGTTTAAGGCTCTAGTCCTCACTGAGGTGGTCAAACCGGCACCTGACTAGCACCATTCCAGGGTGCAGGTGGAGCTCTTGGGACGGAACGATCCTCTAAATTTAAAAGAAGAAGAAGAAGAAGAAGAAGAAGAAGAAGAAGAAGAAGAAGAAGAAGAAGAAGAAGAAGAAGAAGAACAACAACAACAACAACAACAACAACAACCCCATACTTGGGAAACGACCATACTAAGAAAAGGGGTCTCAGCCTAGCATTCACCCCAGGATGCTAGCTTTTGATTTGCTGAGCCCCCCCCCCCCCCCCCCCCGGGGGGGCCATAACTTGCCCCATTCACAGAGGGGATAAGTGTGGGGTATAATATTTTATCAGTGAGACTGATAAACCACACTAGCAGCCTGGAGTGGGACATTTCACAAACAAGCAGACAACGATTTCATATTTTTAAAAAACGATACCCTGCAATCTCTCATCAAAAGCTATTGCTAAGGCAGCTTTCAGGAATACAACAGCCGTTTAAAAAAAAAAGTAAACCATTATAATACAACTACTGGCAACTTAGTCTCTGTAACAGTAAAAACAAAACAAACAAAAAAAAAGTGACACAACTTGATCCGGTCAACATAAAGCCTGAGAAAATGGGAGAAAATAAGTCTCCGTGCATCTCTAAGAGCTCAGGTGAGCAGCTGTGGGGATGGAATGCCAACAATGAGGGGCCACCACTTAAAAAGGCCCTGCGTTCACTGATCACCCGCCGCACATGACACCACCCAAAAAACTACCTCTGCTGAAAATCCTGAACCAGCAGGCACACTGAAATAGAAGCATGCAGAGCACAGCCGGTCCCATGCACAGCGTACTACAGGAGCCCAATTTACAGGGGATCAGAGCATGGAGAAACACGGCCACGCTGCACTTCCCAAGATGCGCAAAGGGCATCCTGTGCCACAGAGGATACTGCAACTCCTACAGTTAAAAACAGACCCCAACAGCCCACCCTCAAGCGGCACACTGGCTCCTTTCGGTTGGGGGAGGACAACCCCATCCAGACGAGGCTGGCTGGCTCCTTCATCCTCCATCAGCAGAGTTATCGGCCAGCAGCAGCTGGACTCCAGTTTTACACCCAAGGACAACTATGGCCCCCGTCACATGGGCCAGATAACGTGTGTGTGTGTGTGTGTGTGTCTTTTCACCCCGGAGCAAAATAAAGCGCGGTAGCCCGATCACACGGTCCCCCGAGTCTCCGTGCTTCGGCTGTTAGCTGGCGATCACACAGCGATGCTGCAGCGTGGCCAAGAAGCGGCGCGGCGCGATCACACAAGCGTTTCGCATTTGTGCGCATGTGCAGTTCAGACATCTGCAGAAGTAAGCGGTGACTCCGAAGTGAGTATCTGAAGAAGTGAGCGGTGACTCACAAAAACTCCTCCCCGGCCACAACTTTTGTTAGTCTCTTTAAGGTGCTCCTGGACTCTTGCTCTTTTCGACTGCTACAGACGGACTCCCACGGCTACTCATCTTGATCTATCTGAAGAAGTGAGCGGTGACTCATGAAAGTTCCTCCCCTGCCACCGGTTTCGTTAGTCTTTAAGGTGCTGCTGGACTCCTGCTCTTTTCGACTGTATCCATTATCAGGTTGTCCTCTTGGAAACCTGGGAGCACAGGCAGAAGATTCTGGGAAGTGTTCCAGGTCATGCACGCCGTGCTGCCGGGCAGTCCGTGTGGGCCTCCCTGTAGCCTGGCAGGTCCCTTTCCAGGTGCCGCTAAGACACGGGGAGAAGGCAGGCAGGGGAGCGACTGCCCCTACCCACCGCTGCTACTTGCTCACCCACCAAGGCAAGCAAGCAAAAAGCCACGGCCACCTCCTTCCCACATCTCGGCTGCTGCCCGCTCTCTGCCAGGCGAACGAAGCGGAGGAGGGCAGGGGCTGCAGTCACTGCGGCCTGCGCTCTGGCTACCTGGATGAGCAGGGTAAGAGGAAGAGGGGCAGGCGCCACCTCCACTCCTGGCCGTGGAATGCGTGGTAGGGAGAGGGAGGCCTGCCCCACGGCCATGCCTGCCACAGCTCCGAAGGTGGGGATTGCTGACACTGCCCAGTGGTGGTCTCCTCCCACAGCCACGGGGCCTGGCCTGCTCTCTAATGATCCCTACCGAACGCTGGCCCTACTACGGACGCGCTCTGGAACTGAGTGCAGAGGGACCTGTCGTACCAGGGGTGACCCAAAGGGGTGACCCAGAAGAATCCTCATGGGGGGAACATTGCTGTAACTCCTGTCGGAGGCCTACCTGACAAAGGGTTTCCTGGTCAGCCAGAGGAGGCGCACCCATCAGCCAGCGGAACCCGTCGGACCTTGGGTTAAGCTGAAGCTGACGGGGTGGGGTTTGCAGAGTTTTTGGCAGGACAAAAAGTCCTGCCTGCCCGGGGCAGGTGAGGGCACTGGGAGCGGTGGCGCAGGCAGTAAACGCCTGCAAGTAAAACTATCTCCGAACAGCCTTAATAGCTGTTCGCGTCCCACCGCGGCCGGGGTGAGCTCCCGGCCCTTATCCTAGCTCCCGCCCAACCCAGCGGCTCGAAAGCCCTTAACGGCAATTAGACAAATGGGTACCCACTCCTTAAGAGTGTGGGGGGGGGCACCCTACCCTACCTCCAATATTGGAGGGCAGCGGCGGCGGCTGGACGATGCGGTGAATTGATAAGCGGTGAGCCGGTAGAGGGAACATGGCGACGGATCGGCGGCAGACGGCAGGCGACGCGGGAGGCAACTGGAAGCGGTGTGGAGGCGTGGTGACGTAAGCACGGTCAGAGCCTCCGGGACAGAGACCAGTTGCAACCTCATCGTGCAGCCGCACGCCATAAAAGGACCATCCCAGGAAGCCGAGCAGAAGGGACGGAAAAAGACCTCCGCCGAAGGACACGACCGCCTGGTCCTAGCAAGACCCCACCACAGAAAGACCTACGCTGCGTAGGTGCCTGGTAAGGCATCCATCTCCCCTGATATGTGTGTGGCCCTAGTTAGGCGATTAAATGTATATGTGTAAACCGCTCCGAGCCTCCGGGAAGGAGCGGTATAGAAATGTAATGTAATAACAATGATAACAATGATAACAATGATAATAATAACAACAACTAAGGAGCCTCATTTGGGCCAGGGGAGTTCAGATCCTAGCACGGCCTTTAAGAGCAGTGGGACTAAGACGCACTGGGACTGAAGGCAGGCCGTGGCTCAGTGGCGGCGCATCTGCTTGGCGTGCAGAAGGTCCCAGGTTTGGTCCCCGGCATCTCCAGCTAAAAAGGGACTGGGCGATCGGGACGGGAAAGACCTCCGCCTGAGACCCAGGAGAGCCGCTGCCACTCTGAGTAGATAAGACTGACTTCGATGGACCCAGGGTCTGATTCGGCAGAAGGCAGCGTCATGTGTTCAGGACGTGAAGAAGAGGAAGAGGAAGAAGAGATTGGATTTATACCCGGCCCGTCACTTGGAGTCTCAGAGCGGCTTACAAACGCCTTTTCCCTTCCCCTCCCCACAACAGACACCCTGGGAGGTGGGTGGGGCTGAGAGAGCTCTGACAGAAACTGCTCTTTTTCAAGAACAGCTCTTATCAGAACTACGGCTTGCCCAAGGCCATCCAGCCAGGTGCGAGCGGAGGAGTGGGGAATCAAACCCGGTTCTCCCAGATTAGAGTCCACACACTTAACCACTACACCAAACTGCCACTCACAAGTTCTTAAGG